TCCATCTCACCCCAGAAAGAATGGCTATCATCAAGAAATCAACCAATAACAAATGCTGGAGAGGCTGTGGGGAGAAAGGAACCCTACTCCACTGCTGGTGGAAGTGTAGACTGGTGAAACCACTCTGAAAATCAATTTGGAGATTCCTCACAAAAGTAGGATTGGAAGTCCCATTTAACTCAGCTATTCCCCTTCTGGGTATTTTCCCAGAAGAATTAAAGACATCCTACCACAGCGATATATGTGCACCCATGTTTATAGCAGCACAATTTGTTATAGCTAAATCTTGGAAACAACCCAGATGCCCATGCACTGAGGAATGGATAAAAAAGATGTGGTATTTTTATACGATGGAGTATTACTCAGCTATTAAAAAAGATAAACTCAAGGCTTTTTGTAGGTAGATGGATGCAACTAGAGACCATACTCATAAGTGAAATAAATTGGACCCAGGTGTGTAAACATCATATTGTCTCCTTGGTGTAGGAACCTGAAAGACTAGGGAAAACTCAAAATGTACAATAGATGATAGGAAAGGGAAAGAAATTGCTCAAAGGAAGGAATGACTGGGATGAGGGAAAGAAGAAAAAAGGAAGAAGGAAGGCAAAATATAAATATACATATATATATATATATATGAATAGCTGCAATAACTGTATTGCTGATGTCTGATGGTGTATTGAAATAAATAATTAATGCTTACAAATTTTTATGTTCTGATCGATTTTGCATGCTTGTGTCTGGTGGTCTGAGCAAGTGAGTTGAAGGTAACAATATGCACGGGAATTACACTGGTGAACTCCTACCATCTTGCCTAGTGATACTCTGTATTATCTCTAATGTTTTTTCGAAGAATTATGTTCTTAGTCTCTTTAATGGTTTGAGCAATCTTTCATTCTTACATCTGGTAATTTGAGCAATGTAGTTGAGGATAGTGATATGTAATGTAACAACCACTGTTGATTCATATTATTTTGTCTTAGACCCTGTATTACTTTGAATGTTCTTGCTCTGATTTGTTTATGTTCATGATACTGGTATGCTGTGACTGTTCTATTTTTTTTGTTTGTTTGTTCATTTCTCATTTACTACTCTCTTAAAATAAAAAAAAATTATAGACCACCTAAGCCAATGCATATGAGAATTTAGAACTTTCTCTTTTCTTTGCCAAAATGCCCTGAAATTTTGGGCTTTGTTTTAGTAACTACCCTCTTCTATATACCAACTGCCTGTAGATCTGTATCAGTCTGTATTCTGGGTGATGAGACACAGTGATTCTAGAGGATATAGCAAACTTAGTGTTATGACTGAGAATAGCTGATATCATAAGGATCTTAAAGAGCTTACGTGTATTTACCTTCCTATGCCCACAATGTCAAACACAGTTCTCCTCATGGTAGGACCAGGTGAGAGCTAAAATTTCATGTATAGCTACATGTGTCAGACTTTCTATACTCCGTTGCACATGTCTCTTGCCCATTTCTGTCAGGGGAGACACTCAGTAAACTAAGATCGAATAGTCAGTAAATAGCAGAGCTGAGCCTTGACTTCATGTCAGTCTGACTTTATATTTTCCATGTGATTTCTTAACCACACTTAGCACCCCAAAGTGTTATTTGTGAAGTGCCATCTTCATGGGTTTGTTTATCACCTTTCTAGTTAAATCTAGCCTTGAGAGGCAAAGGACCACAGCTCAGTAAAGCTGTGACTCACAACTGGCCCAAGGGCCGATTGGAATGCTACATATTACAGTCAATCACTTAGTACATAATTAGTGTGTAATGAAGAGGTAAAAACTAAGGCGCACACAGAGAGAGCCAGGCTTTGTCAATAGTAATGATCCTTTGTGGCCTGAGTCTCCACTGTCATTTTCATTACCGTTATAGATAAATAGTAAACAAAGGCAGTGGGTAGGATGGCAATATGAGGTAGAAAGAAAATAAATGAGAGAGAATAATCTTTGCATTTGTTTACCACTAGAATGCCCTCCAAAGTTAACTTTGCCTGAGTGGCATTTTAAACATTTGGCCTTGTTTTCTTTATAAGGTTTATGATGTTTTTATGATTCTCTGGCACTACCTGCTTGAAGAATTTTGGAACATCAGAGTAAAGTTCACTGTTACTTAAGTCTAATTCTGAAAGAGAAGCTCTCCTAGGTCTCAGCTTGAATGCTCTCAGTGTGGAGAAGTTACTGTCTCACCAGGTAGCCGCTCTGTCTTTGAATAGTAGAGTTGATAAGAAATTCTTACCTTCCCATCAGTACAAAATCCATATTTTTACAACATTTTAAAAATTATTCTGTAAGTATATCTGGAAGAATAACATGGCAACATAGGTTCCTAGGCTGATTCACTGGGTCCTGGAAAGACCCTGTGTTTATTAGCATTTTTGAGTGAGAAAACTGGCTGCATGGGGTATGCTAGACCTACTTATGTCACTGGTAATATGTATACAATTTGGGGACTTCTTTCAGAATTTTTCAGTTTTAAAATTTAAAACACGCCAGATGTGGGGGCTCATGCCTGTTATCACTTCACTTGGAAGACTGAGGCAGGAAGATCACAAGTTTGAAGCCGGCCTGGGCTACATAAGTGAGTTCAAGATCAGCCTGGACTACATAGTGAGACCTTGTCTTAAAAGAAAAAAAGTCTTTCTTTAAATTTCTAAATTGCAAAAAAATATCATTTGATTTTTAAAATTGTGTCTAACATGTGGTCAAGTCAAGATCTCCCTTGTCCTGGCATTGGGGCAGTGAACAAAATGGTCTGACAAGGGCACATTTAGACCTGCACATTCTCTACGGTGACTGCAGTCACAGACTGCAAGGTACGTTTTAGCCATCCAAGCACAGGCTGCCTTGAGACTCATTCTCCAACTTCCCTGCGCTCTAGTCACTTGAAGTGCTTGCTGAAAAGACACAAGACTTCTCAGACTTCACCCAGAAATACTGATTCAGTAGAGCGAGCCCCAGAAATCCTTATTTCTCACCAGGGCTGGAAGTGATTCTGAAGCACAAGGCCCATGGACCCATTCTGAGAACTCCCTAACATTAGCAACTGTAACAATGTCAGTAGTCTATTTGGTTCTGCTTCAATAGACAACTCTAAGGATGATGAGATTTGAGGTCCTTTTATAATTTTTCAAATATGCCAACTGAGAATGCCAAAACAAATCACTGGGCTTTCACAAGTAGGGTGTGTGTGTGTGTGTGTGTGTGTGTGTGTGTAGGCCATGAAATTTAAACACTTTCTAGCTGCTCCCATCTGACACTGAGATGTTCATCATGCTATCCAGACCCAGCTTTGGGGACTTCAGACACCTCTGGTAGCGAGCCTGAAGTAATACAAACGTCCCTGCATCCACCGCAAATCTCTAACAAGAAGAAATGAGTAGACTTGGAGCCGACGTGGGAAGTGCCTCCTCCTCCGATCAGAACAGAGCAGGAAAGCATGTGATGGGGGAGGGGGAGGAAAGTGTGTGGAAGCTGTGGTGGAAAGAGCGTCGCTTTCTTCCCAGCTCAGCTGACCACCTCATTTGTACTTTCCCAGACCGTGACCACACTGCGCAGCCATGCTCCTGGTTCACTTGCCTCACTACTGAGCTACAGACAGGCTCCAGCACAGCTGGTCTCGGAGCTCGGGCATGACCCAAAGTGCTGCCTGTTAAAGGGTATCTCATCCACCTGCCTCCCCCTGAGCAACAACTCGGTTGTGCCTCTGCCCCTGCCTTCGCAAGGTGCATGCTTGGAACCACTGTTGGGAATTAGGCAAGGCGAACCCCAGTCACACCAGCAAGACTTGCAGCTTGTCTTTACTGAAATTCTGATCCTTTGTTCATCTTGGGTTTTTGGCATTGATTTTGAATTTTTAAAATAGTCCATTAAAGTTTGTTTTTCCTTTTTGTCTTTTTGAGACTTGCAGTTCAGGATAGCCTTGAGCTCACTCTGTAGCCCAGGCTGGTCTCAAACTCGCAACAATTCTCCTGCCTCAGCCTCCTGAGTGCTGGGATTACAGGCGTGTGCCACCACGCCCGGCTCCATCAAAGTATTATGTATCTTGATGATTCTGTTTTTTAGCGTCCCTTAAATTTAGCTCCTTAGACAAGTTCCTTACTCACCTCAGCCTAGGCTGGGCTCTAATGACAAAGTCCTGTGCCTATTTACCCTGAGATCTATTTAGACTTCTCTCTCATGGAAATTAACTTCCTTATTTAAAAAAAAATCAACGCTCACTTATGACTTAAGCATGAGCTCTCCTGAGGCCTGAGAAATCATCTGTTTTAAACTCAAAATTCTACAGACCCACCTCACATACAGTTGCGCAGCTACTTTGTGACAAGGTAGAAAGGGAATTCAAGTTTTGTGAATCTTTCAAGAATAGTAATTTTTAAAGTATGAATGTTACTCTTATTTTCAGATTTAGCTTATATGCTGTTTAACATCATCTATCAGTATTAAGCAGAAAAGTCCTCAAATGGACTTCTACTCTAAGCTTTAATTTTAAGGATGAGGACATTTAGTAAGGATTATACATTAAATAGTGACTAGAAAGCAAGCTCTTTGTGAGATACTCTGCTAGGTACCATGGGACACATGAATATGAGTGACACATAATTCTTGCCAAGTGGCATTTATAACTTAGGAGACGTTATTAATCACATTGGCCAGGATAAATGGAACATCTCACTGAATGAGAAGTAGTAGTCTATTAAATCACTGGACTCTCCCACACTTTGAAGTGCTTTATACTGAGCTCAACATGAAGTTAAAACTTCATTAATTTTAACCAGCATAGTAAAATAGGACATGGGGAAATTCTCAATTTGCTGAATCAATATACTTATAATAGATGTTTACAGGTCACAGTTGTTAGATCTGAGAGAAGGAAATAATTGGTGTTATTACTGTTATGGTAAAACATGAAATTATCTAATGTTTTTATCATTTTGAGCTATTTCTTAAGCACATTTATTCATTATAATGTAGTGGAAAATTCTCTTACTTCTGGTGTCACCATTCATTTCTTCAAGTTCACTGTTGATTCCAACATCTATGGAACTCATTATTTTGTCAATCTGGGGAAATCAAAACCAGGGAAGTGGGTTAGTACATTCACTTGGTCATTGCATTTTAAAGTAACTTCCACATGCCAGAACCAGATATTCTTGGTATTAATGTCACAGCAATACGACAATTAAGCAACAGATAGAGAAAGTTTTAAAGGGAAATAGACATCTTTTGAAATATTTTTCAAAATATAATTTATGCTTCCCTTTCCTAAACTTCCAAAATGAGCTTGCCTGTTCTCTGTACTTCTTGAACTTTGTACTTGGATGAGTCAGTAAGTTAGGAACTACGTACTTTTTCAGTTCAGAAGGGGTGAGGATAAGTTCAAGTGATGAGATCTACCCTCTCTGGCAAGCTGACAGCATGCATCTAGTTTGGCTGGTGAACGGGCAGGCTTCAGCTCATGGGCTAGGCTTTTGGAAGCAAGAACTCACTCAATGGTTTGGCCAGCCACAGCTGATTAGTAGCATCCAATCACAAGAAGATAAGCATGGGAACAACGTATTTCTAAAATATAAGTTAATTAATTTTGTCTCCAAAAGAGGATTTTCAATGGATTCAAAGAGTTAAAAAATACAAGAAATGGATATACTCCAAACACTAAGCATTTTGTTAGTTTGGAATTTCAGAAGATGTGACTATCTAAGCCACAACCATCTATGCTTTAATCCCTCTCCTCGAAGAGACAAACTGTGTCAGGTGGCAGGTTTAGGAAAGGATAATGAACGTTACTTAAATGTTCCATTTTGTTCACCCTGAAAGAGACATGGAGATATCAAGTTCCCAAACAGTTCAATTTATAATGTCAATATCAGAACCATATCCATTTCTAGTTCTCACAATACTATAATGACCTAATGTGCTTCAAAACTTAATTTAACTGGCACAGTCTTTTGAGAGACAAAATGTGACATATTAGAATGAAATGTCAAGAGAGACTCTAGTCCATTCTTTAAAAGAAATTCAAGAAAAAGCAAGAAGCTTTATTACTTTATGATGTAATTCTCCTCAGGGACAAAGGATGCTTCATAACCTTGCAAGGGCACTTACTTTCTGAATAATTCTTTTAGATTAAAAACTTTAAGTACAGCTTACACTGGTGATACTTGACCCCAAAACATTTTTCCTTTAATGTTTCTCTGATAGCTGTAAAGAGGGAATATTAAGTGATATGTGTTTACTGCATAGTTCTTGGAGAAGAGCCAGGATGGCTCTGTTTACCATTAAATTTAAGATTACAAGGAGTTGTTCAGAAAAGATAGGATATTTTAAAGAAGGGAGACAGGCTAACAAATAGCTTTGCAAGCAGCAAAATGACATGAAGCAAAATATCAATTTTTTCTCAATTTGTTAGCTGCAGTGCTTAGGAAGACATGATGTGAACATGCTCTTGCACTGTATATTTAATTATTACTTCTGTTTGAAAGAAATTTCTATGGGAACAACAGATCTCCCCACATGTGCGGGACTGTGTTTGTTTTTATACTTGTGAAATTACTATGTTTTACCCATAGGACCTTTCCCTTCTGGTTGGGGTTGTATGCATTTGTTAATTTTTCTTTTGACCTCTGAAAGACTTAAAAAGCTGAAAGCCCTTTCCTGAAGTTACTTCAACTCTAAAGTCTTATACAAGGAACAACAACAAGAAGAACTAGGCTTACTTCTTCCCATTCAGATGTGAAAGATGGTGTTCTTTCAGAATTCCCTTTAGAACTGTGTTCAGCAGTTGAAGATTCACTCCAGTTAATTCTTGATGCTTTCTCTTTTGAAGGGTAGGCAATGAGATCAGAATCAGACTTAGAGACACTTTTGGACAAATGCATGTCGATCAGGGCTTTAGGTAACGATCTTATTCTCCCCAGAGTACATGCTCTCTCCACAAATCCCCCTGTGTTGACCACCCACTGGTCCCCGCTGCGGGACCCGCTCCTGGTGGTTTTTGTGCCAACAATGGTATGGTTCTCCAGTTGGCTACTTTTTTTGTGAAAAATTGTTCTACTGACCACTTTGGGTTTAATTTTCTTTACCAAAGGTTCAGAGTTATTTTCTATTGGAGTCTGCTTGAAAGGCAAAGGACTGTTTGCCAGACTGACTTCTTCTTGCCCTTCTTCACATTGATCTCTTTTTCCATAGAGATGAAATGGATTTTCAGGGGACTCACAGGCTGGAGAGGATCCATGCAGAAGGCCTGCAAATTGCCCTGGATCATATTCCTTTGGAGGATCATTGTCTTCCTGTTGAGAGGTGTCACCTGCAAAAGGGAAGAAGGATGTCAGGGTGCTTGTTCATAAAGCCATGGTACAGTAGCAGTGCCCTTATGAACTTGTGCAGTATGTGGACATTTGGTTCATTGCTACGTTGCATACTCTCACTTTATGAACTACCCATGGCCCCATGGTGCCATGTATAAAGTGCATGTGTGTGTCTGAATTAAATCTTCCTGATGCACCTCAGGGTTCATCTCAAAAGTATGAAATGAGTATGTCACTTGTTTTCAGAGGGTAAGTTTCATACTGAATAAACAAAATTTGATTTTTTAAAAATTGGAACACCTACATTTAAAGCCTCAAAGTGAATGCATCATCATGCTGTAGAATATCAGGTAAGTAAGTCAAAATTATATATAACAACATCCCCTTGCTCTCTCCCTAGCAAATAAATGGAAAAACAAGTTAACAAATGACATTTAATGAGTATGTGCTATGTATGAAGCACTGAACTAGGAGTTATATTTACATTTTATCATTTGATCCTCATAAAAATTCAGTGATGTGATTATTCATAAGAATCATGGTTTTCTGACAAACAGAGCTATGGACAAAATATTGAATTCTCCTTTTTTATTTTTTGGTACCAGGAATCGAACTCTGGACCTTGCGCTTGCCAGGCAGGTGCTTGTGCTGCTGAGTTATATTTCTGACCCGGAATTCTCCAATTTTTGAGCAACTGGGAACCATAATAAGTCTCAGTGGACATTTGCCCAGAGATTTCTATGGACAAATCTGCTCTTTGCAGTGAGGGTTGCAGGTCTGCCTGCTACTCTCTCCCTGGGGTTGTTATGAGCAGGTTTATTCATAGCTGCACACCTCTCCAGACTTCACCTTTGCCCCTGCTCAGCTTTTCCAAAAAGATCTTCCTGTCTAGACATATCACACCAATGTCCTGCGATGGAGGAAAAAGAAATAATAGGAAGAAAGGCCCAAGAGACACCAATCTCAGGGAGAAACAGTCCATCACTCTTAAACCACTTTAGTCTTCTACACAAGTTCCACCCCTTTCCTAAGTAGCTACACTATGTCCTTAATAATTCCATTTTGTCTTTCCCTCATAACAGAGGCCATTCTTGGGGTAGACAGAGGATGGTTAGTGGGGAAAGACAGCTTTGAACTCTAAAGACTGGATTTTTCCAGGTGTGGTGATGCATGACTATTGTCATAGCACTTTGGGAGGATGAGGCAGGATGATTGTGAATTCAAGCCCAGCCTTGGCAATTCAAGAACTTAGTGAGAGTTTGTCTCAAAAAAATCCAAAAAGGCTGGGGATGTAGCTCAGTGTGAAGACCCTGAGTTCAATCCTCAATACTGCACTGAGGAAAAAAGATCAAAGTTTATGGCTTATCATCTCCATTTTTTAGAAGTCAAAACTAACACTTGGAGAACTTAAACTGCAGGAGTTCTTCCCTAGTAAGGTAAGAGGTTAAACTAAGGTTCAGGCTAAGGTCTATCAGGTTCCAATATCCATTGACCAGGAATACACATCTTACTAGTAAGATCAAAGAACAATTAGGGTTGGTTTACAACAGGACAAGCACGGGGACTCCTTTTGGAGATAGATACATTTCTGGAAATTAGGAAAAGTGTACTGCCCAGATGGGACGAGGCTGGCCCAGGCCAGAAGAAATCACCTAGAATCAGGAGCTAAAATACTGGCTATTATTTTCAGCCATTAAGTTTGAGGTGGTTCGATATGTGGCAATAGATAACCACTACATCCCAAGTTTCAAAGAATGAACGCATTTTTCACAATAAATTAGGGAGATGTTTATATTTCCACATCTGAAAAATAATGAGAGTAATACTATATACCTAAAAGTACGGTGAAGATTGAATAGAAGTGTCTTAGTTTATTTGGACAGCTATAACAAAATACTATAAACTGGATAACTTAAAAACAACAGATATTTATTTCTCATAGTTCCAGAGACTGAGAAGTGCAAAGAGTCAGTACCTGATGAGGGCCTGCTTTCTGGCGCATAGACAGCACCACGTGAGTATCCTTACATGGTAGAGGGATGAAGGAAATTTTTGGGGTCTCATGTAAGGGCATGAGTCCTGTTCATGAGGGTCCCGCCCATCTAACTCATTCATTTCCAATGTTTTCACCACTTAACATTGTCAATTTTGTTGATATATATATTGGGGGAAGGGACATAAATATTTGGATACAGCAAGAAATAAAATAGTTAGAACAGTTCCAATTGTATAAAACACATTGAATATGTTCCTATTATAATAATGATAATTTTTAATTTAGGTGATTCTACTTTTACAAGGAAATGTGTTAACTGACTGTATTAGGTATCATTACCGATTGCTGTTTTGACATGACAGTCACATGGAGTTTATGCCTTTGTTCTTTGCATTTGTATCCTTTAAAATATATACTTTGAAAAGATTTTTCTGTTTTCTTACTATTTTCTTAGAGGAAACAGGCAAAATATATAAATAAAATTGTTTTCATAACTTGTCTCATTTAATTTCACACTTCTCTTTTGATAAGTGGATATTTCATGCCAAGGTACAGAACTAAATATGTGTGAATTCCAATCTGATTCTCAAAGCATCATTAGCATTCCAAAGAAATGCCCGTAATAAGGAGCTCAATCTCTTACCCATCTTTCCTCTTGATCTTTAACACCTATGTAAATACCAAAAACGCCCCTCCTCAAAATTGCATGTTAGGACAAAAAGAAATTTTATGTGATTTCTTCTTCTATTATAGACTATAATTTTTATCTATTAGGTCACTGCACTAGCTTTTAGAAAATCAAAATATTTTCCATTTTTGGTGATGTTGATATTAGTAGAAACTGTAATTTCACAAATATATATAAAACACTTTCTGTGTATCAAGTGACAAAATTTTAACAGTTCCAAAGGCAATGTCCTGTCTCCACCTCACTTACATTCTAGCCAAAGACCACAACTATAGGAAAATAAAAACAACAGTATAATTTCTGGTGATGGTTGAGTGCTATGAAGAAAAGAAAGGAAAGGAAGAGACAGGAATGAAAGGGAGATGTTGTTGGTGACTACGAAATGTCTTTGTAAAGAGATAACTTTACAGAGACAGAGCATTGATTCTGAGGAAGTTAATTATTCAAAGTTTGGGGGAAGATTTTTTAGGGCGATGGAAGATGACTGAGAAACCTGCCAGGCTACAATGAACAGTCAGAAGACCACAGCAGAGTAATGGGGAGTGGGTAGAATCGTGGAGAGAAGCATACATGAAGGTGGGAATAGGGTCAACACGATCTGATTTGCACTTTTAAAGAAATCTGATGTTTCTGATGGCAAGGATATGACAATAGAATACTATTTTTCAAATATTAAACACCCCATGAAGCCTCATAAAAACCATACATGGGGCAGTGAAAGAATAGAATGAACACATAATGAAGCTAAGTATCAAGAGGTGTCCATGACCCTGAAATGGATAACAGCCGAGTCATGTGATAGCAGCAGGATCCAGAGCTGGTTGGCTCTTGCCACAAAGACAGGGAAATCTGAGGACCTACAAGCCATGGAATCCAGAAAATGCCACCAGACACAAATTCCCAAAAGAAAGGGGAATGCGTGAAGGAGGTTGCTGAGCAACAGAATCTGACAACAACCAGCACAACTTGAAAAATTCTCTGACAAGACACCAGAGAGGAGATGAAGCTTTTGCGAATCTCAGGAATGTCCAATGAATGTGTTCTTTCTGCAGGCTAGGGAGTTACTCTGAAGAAAAGTTTTAGCAGCGGGATCCAAATTGATCGAGATGAAAACACCAGAGAAGTAAAGGGAAAGAATTATATAATGGGGAACGGGGCAGGGGGGTAGCAGGAAAGGCTGATGTCCAGTGGATGGAGACCTTGAATATAACAGAACAGCAAATACAGCTTTCAAGTGTGTGAGTGCTGCTTTAGAACTCCGCACTTCCTTGAGGTAGCAGCGAAAGCCTACCCAAATCAAGCCGAGAAGTATACGTATTTCTTACTACTTCATAATAAGGATAAAGAGAAGTTTTGGGTTAGCATTAGGACGAACTTGGAGTGGGGAAAGCTACTATGGTTCATTCTTGCTTGCACTGTCCTAATAGTCTAGGGTAATCTCTCTGTTGTAGTGTCTTATTCACTTTCCTCATCTCTGGGACACGAACACCCACAATTAAAAGAGAAGTTTGCTTTGGTTTATGTTTTAAAAGTTTCAGTCCCTGCATGGTTAGCACACAGTGAAAGGCCATGCGCGTAGAGGAAATCTGCTCATGTCATGGAATCCAGGAAGCAGAGAGAGAGAAAGATCTCGAGGAGCTGGGAAGGGAGACAAACCCTTGCAGGTCATTCACACACTAACCCTCCTCTATGACCAGGCCCTATCTCCTCACAACAAGTCAGCTGTAATCTCCTATCATCCAATCATCTCCCCGAGGTCCCACCTATAAGCACATGGATTTTGGGGGGGACCTCTAGCTATAAACCGTAACGTGGTTTGGATCTCAAGCGTCCCCACGCCATGTGCTAACATGGTGGTGGTAAGGCTTAGTGGAAGGATGAGGTCACTGGAAGTGTGCTGTACCCTTGAAGGGGATATAGGAGCTAGGCCTCTCTTCTTCCTACTGTTTGATTCCTGCTCACCACAAAATGAGCAGTTTTGCTCTGCCTTGCACTCCCCACCCATGATGTTCTGCCTTGCCATAAGCATGAAATGATGGAGCAAAGAAACCATAGACCAAAACATCACAATAAATCCTTCCTCCTTAAAACTGATTATCTCAGGTATTTTGTCACAGTGACGGAAAGCTACCACAAGATCTCACTAAACATGAGGAACAAGAAAGAATTCAGACACAATCCCACTGAAAGACATTGCAAGGAAAAAGGATGAAAAAGAATGTTTAGCACCTAAACAAACCACAAACACTGTCCAAAAGAATTTGAAAATTGTAACCTAAAATTTCAAAATTAGCAAAGGAAAATTAAGAAAATGA